ATAAGTAGTAAGCTTGCAGGAGGTGATAGGGCACTATGAAACAAGAAAATTAAGTAAATGTTTAGTGGTCCAAAAGTCTACCGTTTTCGAGAAAAATGTTTTTGAAAGTACAGTCCGGTCCTGGTAAGATCACATATTGCAGCGCCGCATTTCGCAGCATTCGTATTGTACGAGTATTTTGTATTTTCTGTTGTTAATAGCATGTTGTGGTAAGCTTTGATTAGTAGTGCATACTATTAGCGATAAACAATTAATTAATTGTTATTATTATATGCAGTAGCGTAATAGTAAGCTGTTGATATTTACTTTATTAGTCGTTCCACAACCGTCACTGTTTACATTTTTCATCGATGTGGTTCCTTAATTGATATCTCAATTTATTGTCAATTCACACCCAGGGCTGGCTTCGTCTGGTTTTCTTATAAAATATTTTATCCTGTAACCACTTTACTAACCTAGGGATTCCTTATTTTAGCTACATTAGTACATTAATTATAAAACACTCTCCAAACTTGCAGCTCTAAATTTGCAATAGTTTTTAAATAATTGTCCAAAATGTATCTGGATATATATTTTCAGTGGTGTTGTCGAGCCGGAACGCTCCGGAACGTCGTTCCGATACTTCCTTTTTGGACAGGAACGCGTTCCGGAACTAAAGAAGATTTCTGATAACGATAATTGGCTGACGTATTGAAAAAAAAATTAAAAAGAATTGCTGATTTTTTTTTCTAATTTTTGACGAATTTTTATGTATTATTATAAACAAGGGTTTGAACCGAACCCGAACCGGAACAAAAACCGGAACGAACCGGCTTGTTTTTCCGAACCGGGAACAGGGCCGATCCTGGCGACGGGCGAAAATTGGGGGAAATCCCCCTCCCCCGTCGTCGTCAAATTTGGGACATGAGACCGCACAGAGCAGCCGCCTACCCGGGATCGGCCCTGTCTATATAATTATATATACGCGTTCCGGTAAAAAAAATTAGCACAACACCACTGCATATTTTGCCTTTATATGCAATTGAAAATTAATGAATATCCCATCAACAATGAGATACATGAATGACTTTGTATTAGTAAGCTGTACTACCACGATTTTTTGGGTATTTTATTTGGCTGACTTATATTCGTTAGATATAAATTAATTATGGACAATAAATCGGTAGTTGTTATAGTAAAAATTCGACTTTTTGTATACCTATATCTTTTTATTAAATAACATAATAATCACTTCATAATATGTATTGCACATAATTATCGTCATTATATCATAATCTAGAATATTATTTTTATCCTCAATAATACTATCATTATCAATCATTACAAGTATCCGATAAAATAATGTCTTGTACTTGGATAGAAATTGACATGATTAAGTGATGTTGGTGATGAAATCCAACCACATTTAGTAAATAATAGCAATACAATACATTCTTCATCGCGTTTTGATACATTTTATTTAAAAAGAATATTATGAGATATTTTTAATTTATTGACTCAGGCAAGGCGCTGTCCCACTCTCAATATGTATATCACATATAACGTAAAATTTGAAACAGAAATCATTTGACATTAGAGCTTTTCTATTTAAGGATGCAAAAGTATCTATTAGTTTGTTCAAATCGAGAAATTTTACGATTTTTCATTCGACGAACATGCAAAATGATTGCTAAATTACCTAGTCAAGAAAATTTTACTTCCTGGTCAAGGTTAAGAGTTAAAGAAGTTTTTTAAAGAGTTTAAGGCATCGAATTTAAAATCTACAACGGTGTGATCCACTAGGGCGTAACTTGATTGGGCACCGAATACAATCAGTCCTTAAAAATGCTCTTCCATTTGATACTGAATAAAGGTTGAGAACAAACAACTTAATTTGGCACCTAAAAGTATCCAATTGGTCAACTTCGAATCATAATCCCAATTGAACGATTTCGGATCACCACTGACTCGACCCATGCAAAACTAACAAACGTAACAAATACATCTGCGTAATTTCTTATGCAATAGATTTCACAAGTGAATTTTTGAATTCTCCATCATCTCCTTATTTTCAATTCCACTCAAAATACAGGAAATTTTTTTATCAGATACTTGTAGTGATTTTAATGATGATAATATAAAATAACATAAAAATTTTTGTTTGATAAGAAGATACATATATTTATTTACCAATATTCTTTTCTAGATATTTACACTTCTTTATTGTTTTTAGAGATAAATGCAATTAATTTACAATTCATAAAAATACAAAGTCGAAATATCGTATATCTCGTAAGGAATAGACTAATGTAGAATTGATTCGCAACATGAACAGCCGACTTAGAGTTAATTTAGAATAGCAAGTCTTATTCGTTCTTTCATTGATTTCTACCATTTTCTATCCCTTAGAATTGTTGGTTGTTATTATTTACAGCAGTATAACATACATTAATTCAACAACGTATGGAATACGTTTTAATTATTGCATTATTTTGTTGCCTAATGTCCGGCACCCCAAACTTCACCAACAGTATATTGCCGCTTATAAATCAAAAGCTATGATTTTGATGAAAAATCGAAAAACATGCGTCATTTTTAGAATTTTGTTATCGTTCAATTGACACCTCACTCGATAATTTGAGAAACGGTTACCAGCTTACCATAAGGCAATTTTAAGAAAAAAACAAAACTACTAAAACACTTCGTTCGTGTTGTCTTCACCGACCGTAAGCCTATGATTACAATTAGGCGAATAAAAACAACAAGTTTAATTTAATAATAAGGTAAGGGTGAGTAAAAATAATATAAACATAATGAGTGTTGTAGTAATCTTGTCCCTTCTTAAAATTGCCTTACATTGGAATTGAGTTAGATCAGGTTAGTTTACTATTGAACAAACATTTCATTACAAATTGAAAATACGAGTTGCAATGTGAAATTCAAGTGGAAATTTAAAAAAAAATGTTTATTCTCAACAACTTATAAAATATGAAAATCATAACCGGAAGTAACGTCACATTTTATTATGTGCACTAATAAATCAAGTACCTACCTATCATATCCATAAGATATTCTTACCGGGGGCTCTTAGACTATCATACATAGATTATTATTTTAATAATTTGTCAGTTAATCTTTGGCAATAGATTGCTCTAAGGAATATTAACGTACCTATTTTTTTTAAATAAATTTTATCATTCCAATTTGTTACTTTATAATTGATACACCAGTTACAAGGAGAACTGTAATGTTATACGGACATATCGACCAATAACATATCAACAGATCAACTCTCACTATGTACAATATACCAATATTATGAAAAATCAATGAGTATGAGACATCCTTGACGTCACGTATACAGATGAATGACGCAATGGTACATTATTGAATGAAGTTGTAAATGCTGGCATCTACCGTCAAGTGGTGAATGAATTATCTTCGTGCCTTAAAAGCAAACTGATAAAGATTTCTTTAATTGTGCAATACTAAGTCATTACGAAATCACTAGATGGCTCGCAAGCTCTTAATTTTAAAATTTGAATTAAAATTAAACTATTAGGCTAAACAGTAATACTACTGTAGCATTATCACCCAATTAATGAAATAAAATGTTGAAAAGATGAAAATATAGCGAACAGTAATCGTACTTTAATCATTTATTAACGAAAAACATATTTGTGTGCGCAAACAAAATCGATTGTTATGATGTTACCAAGTGACCAGCAAACATTTTTCTTAATATTGTTGAGTTGACGAACCTGTCACATTTATTCTTTGTGATCTGTTTACATATTTTTTACATGGAAAAAATGGTCAAAAGTAAAAGTTTGGCCAATTTGAATGGCTGTAGTAGTAAAAACAGTCTCATCAAAAACAACTTGGAAAACGATGGTTCATCTATTGTATTAGCTGATCTTCTACAAGAATTGGAAGCAGAAGAAAGCGAAACTGAGGCACATCCTTCAAGCCGTTCATTTGTGAGTTTTGCAAGTTCAAAAAACTCCGCCCAATTTTCTGAAAACAGTTTTTTGAGCGAAAGTTCTCTAAACTTTTTATCCAAGCGAGGAGGAAATCGCAACGGAAATAAAACTTTTTCCGAAGACAAAATAAGGGATATTGAGTACAAAAACTCATTGCTTATGAACAAAATTATTTCACAAAACAAAAGACCAAATCAATTTAAACCTTCAAATTATACATCAAAAGTAAGCAGTCATGCAATTAACAGAAAAAAGAAACAAGACCAAATTGATTACGAAAATCTTGTAAGTATAACTCATTTTAATTTTATTATTTTTT